AAAGCTTCTAACGTAAGATCTAAAAATCAATTTAAGTACTTTTATAATTCGACCATATTTCCCTTATCTTAGGCACAGGAATTTTTGTCTATCCTTCAGCTCTGGTTTAAAGGAGAGTAGTAGGAACTCTGAAGACAGAGGCAGCAGTAATTAGGGGAGACCACCACAGAAAAAATGAAGCTCAAAAAGATAGCACCAGAAGTCCTCTCTGTTCAGCCCTGGTCTGTGAAAATCTTGGGTGATTTCACAGGTCATTTCACCATCCTAAGATTCAAAACAAACCAAGCAATCTAAGGCAGGGCTGCTAAGTAAGCAGAGTATGGGATAAGTGAATGGGACAAGGGCCTCACTGCTGGGGAGAGGAGGAAGGGGTGAGAGATTAGATGGGGGTAGCAAAGGGACCCAAGGGAACTCCAATTAAAAAGTACTGTCTTAATTTTGTCACGTAACAGAGAAGGTAAGGGATGAACACATTCCGAGGTGGATGGGAAGGAATGAAGGAAGCAAGCCTGAAGGACAGTGACAGGCAAAGAACTGGCAGCAAGTAGGGATAAATCTAACACCCACAATGGAATGAGCCCAAACAAAATCACTTTTTTTTGATAATTCCCTGACTCCACCAGGCCTCTGTATCCCAGTATTGTACTCCCTCTTTTATTTCATCTAGTCAGAGTATTTCTGGCACACTTTTCAAAAAAGAAAGAAAAAAACTTCTGTTTCGAAACCCTGTTATTATTTCCACTCATCCTTGCATAGCAATAAAATTTATAATAAACTTTATATCTATACGTATTTTTCCAGAGAACTGTTAAACATATACATATAATTAACAGCTTAATATACCATCCAATCTATTTTTCCTCAACAATGCACCATAACCTAGCTGACCCCAAACTCCAAAATAATACTAAAATCACACTAACATGCAAAGAATAAAAGCTTTAGTATCACCTGCTTGGTATCTGCCTTGGAGTCCAACAACAGAAGTTTTTTCTATTTATCAGTAAGAGAACCTTAAGCATATATGAATTTCTTCCAGAAGAAACTATGGGGAAAGGTCCTAACTGCCCAACAACCAATGCTGCTTCTTCCTTGTAGAAAAGAGATTTCTACACACTGGGTCTTAAGAAACCAACCTCTAGCAACTGTTAGTCTGCAGCTAAGAAAAATCAGGGTATCTCATGAAATAAATAACTGTAAGTATAAATCAATACAGCTTCAAAAAATAATGAACAATGAGTATTTTTTAAAAATATTAAAATACTGAGAATTCCAGAAAAAGAATTATACCATGAGTAGGCTGTGTTTGCAAAACAGATCTCACTTCATCTCCTCAAGTTAGAGCTTGGCAGCCTGGCTCCACTCACCATTTGGCTGTTTTCTATTTTCCCTTCTTCCATTTCTGGTGAAATGGATTGGCTTACCTGGCTTCTAAAAATTTTTATTATCTCAAAACAAATATTCTTCTGAATTTAAAATGTCACAATCTGCCTGCAAGTTTCTAACCTGCTAGACAAATCTCAACTTTCATTTCTTGGTGTATAATGCAACTTATATTTTTAAAAATCCTAAAAACAACTTCAGATATCTTGCTCTTTATTTTTAACCCATATTTTAAGAAGTCTGCAGCTTTGTCCCTCTCATAAAATTACAAGGGTGACGAACCAACAAGGAAGAAAACATTAAGAACCAACTAGTAATCTGAAACCTCTAAATGTACTTCAGGTCAAACAACATACAAAAATGCAATGAAAAACACTGATAGAAAAGAAGTAATAAGATATCTATTCAAAATAACATATATCAGGATCAACTGTGGGAAGAACCTTTTAGGATGCCTTTGAATAGGGCTGAAGAGATTGTTCAGGGTTAAGAAAAAGCCCTCAAATAGCAAAAGGAAAGCTAGAAAAATGAAAACATGTGTTGCTAGAGCAGACCACCTTGGGGTACAAGAGTTGGGTAACACAGAAGGGGCCAGATAAGGCACAAAGCAGTCAAGTGGGCAGAGCTGAAACAAGCTACAGCCACTGACATTGGAAGAAGAACCGGAGACAGACATCTGGAGAGACCCAAACGCTCAGGCCATCTTAAGCAGTAGTCTACAGACTTTTTTACACCAAAACTACAGTAAGAAGACTTTACACAACTTAGCACACACATATACATGTATAGCAAATGAAAGTTTCTTTAAGTAATATCTATTCTTATTAGCATGGTATATATTATTTACTTTGTATTATTTTCTTTTTCATTTAAAATGAAATGGGCTCAACCCACTCAATCAATTTAAAAACCCTCTGTAAGTCATGTCCTGCAATTTGACAAACACTGTCACTGCTTGACTTTGGGGACCAAGGAAAGTCAAGGGCTCCATGAGGTCATACCTCAGCGTAAATCCTGTTCTTATATTGGTCAAATTTCTTATTTATTTCACTTACTTTGGAATAGGTTTCAATCCAGTCAGTTACAAGGTGTTTCATCATCCAGCACAACCACTCTTCCAATCTGAATCCTCCACAACACTCCCTGAAGAACATGCATCCCAGCAAAACGGATCTGCTTATTACTGCTTTCCACACGCTAGATTTTGGCCTTTGCCTCTCCCTGGTATGCTTTTATCCTCATAGCTTATTTCCACCTACCCAAATACCTCTGATTCTACAAGGTCATGCTAAAGTAGCCCCTCCATGCAGAACAAATTTCCCCTGCCTCTGGAGTTCTAAGCACTTCATCCTTCCTTCCTATCTTCCATTCACACACACTCTGCCGCATTCCCATGCTTTCAGAGCCCAGTCTTGAGAAACTACTTGGTATGTATTGTATATGTTCACTGAAAAACTGAATATGCATCTTCCATGCGGACAGAAAACTGCCTACCAGGCACGACAGGAGCCAAAGACTGAGAAAGGTCAGGTCAGAACCAAAACCACCAAAAACCCCTCAACCAAAACCAGAACCTTCTATTCTCGTCAGCAGATATTATCCCTTCTGCCTTTGAAAAAAATTACAATAAGCATTATAAGAAAATATGAATGCCTTCACAAATGTTTACAAACTCTTTCAATTAAGAAAGTAGCCAGGCATGGTGGCACAACTTGTAGTTCCAGCTACTTGAGAGGCTGAGGCAGGAGGACTGCTTGAAGCCAGTGGTCTGAGGCTGTAGTACACTGTGATCACATCTGTGAATAGTCACTGGACTCCAGTCTGGGCAACAATATAGTAAGACCCCATATTTTTTTTTAAAAAAAGTATTATAAGTACAGATTAGCAACTTAATAATAATGCCATGTTCATATTTTAACTTCTCCTATTTAAAATCTAATCTCCCAAATGTAATAAAGCTACCCATAGACAGATGGGTAGTATTTAGCAAAATGAATAGATACCACCAAGTTTCTCTCCCTCTGGCTCATTACGATGCAAGCACACAGGCCCACTTTCCCTCAAGTCAGCCTCCCTTCCTCATTACCATATTCTTTTGGTTTAACTTATTTCCCTGTGTCTTGTTTCAGAAACAAAATCTTCCACATCTTCTTTTAATCATGGATTTTTATTTTAGTCTCCCGAATTAAACAAAAGAATTTTCTTTGACCTAAGCCAGAAATATTAACATCAAACTGTCTTAAATCTATATGCAAATATATTTTACATTGATCTTCTAACAGCTTCCTCATTTAATAAATGCTTATCGAGTAACTGCTTGATACTCAAATAGTGAGCTAGAAACTCAACATCTTTGAGGTACTAAACTGAAAATGCCACACTTCCAAAGGAAGGAAGATAATGGGATAATAGCAAATTCAAACTCATTATCCCATGTTGAAAATTGTGCACAATTCTCGTGTAATTCTGTACTACAAAGAATCAGTAAGCAGCAGGAAGAAAATTCTAAAGATAATATCAAGGTAAAATACCTCAAACATATATATACAGTGTAATGAGTTGGCAAAAAAATAAAATAAAATAAGAAAGAAGAAAAGTAAACATAAAAAACCCTTAAAAGATTTGTCTTTTAGGAATGTTGCTCAACTGTGGAGAAAATCAGGTCAGATATTAAATACCATACAGAAAACACTTATAAATATTGTACAGAAGATAATTCTATTTTAACATTATTAAAAAGCCATTAATATCATTTGATCATTAAGTGGTCTTTTCGCTTATGTTTTATGAAAACAATATATACTGGGCAGAGAGCTGAAACAAGCTACAGCCATTGACATTGGAAGAAGAACCAGAGACAGCCATCTAGAAAGACCCAAATGCTCTAAGGTAAAAGCTGCTCCCTCAGGCCACCTTAAGCAGAAGGACTTTTGGTGTTAAAGTCTGTAGATTTTTACACCAAAAGAAGTAAGACTTCACACATCTCAGCACATACACATATACACGTATATACAGCAAATGGAATATATTGTTCCATAACAATATATTATACATTCTAAAACAATAAATGGAATGTATATTAGTTATGCTCAAATGCCTAGGAATATTTAAAATTTATGTCAGGCACTGCAGCTCACACCTGTAATCCTAATACTTTGGGAGGCTGAGATGGGCAGATCACTTGAGCCCAGGAAGTTAAGACTAGTCTTAGCAACATAGCAAAACCCAATCTCTAGAAAAAATACAAAAAATTAGCTGAGTTTGGCGGCATGCACCTATAGTCCCAGCTACTTGAGAGGCTGAAGTTGGAGGATCACACAACCCAGGAGATGGAGGTTGCAGTGAGCAGAGATCACACCACTGCACTCCAGCTTGGGTGACAGAGTGAGACCCTGTATCAAAAGAATAATAATTAAATTTATCAAGTATTCTGAACTCTATTTATGCCTCTAAAACTATCTTAAGTGTGGTGGGCCATGCCAGTGGTGAAATCATGCAAATATGAAATGATTTTATAATAATATTTTTGAATATTTTCATAAAACTGAACTATAAATCAATGATTAATCAACTATTTTTAGTATATCTTATAAACACATACTAAAATATTATCTTACCTTAAATATGTGCCATATATGAAGAATAATGCCATCATCAGCCCATTTAAAATAAAAATTACAGCAACATAAAAGCAAGCAGGATCTCCCAATCCTTTAAAAATAAACAAAACATATGTTCTAACCATATTAACCCAAATTACCTTATGTGTCTAACAATTTATATTAAAGTGTGTTCATTTTGAAAATGGTTGCCAAATATTTTAAACAGTTGCCTTGGTTCCCACATGAAAACACAACACTACTGCAGAACATAGATGAGATCAGGGTAGTAGCAAGGGTGGTTTTAAAACAGGGCTGCCAATTCAGGGATACACCTCCTCTGGAGGTATGGGGTCTATAACCCCCATTTTTTAGTCTCATTGGGCTTGTGACTCCTTCCACAGAGTGTGGCAGAAGTAACACTATGTAACTTCTGAGGCTAGGTCATAAGAGGCCATCCAGTGTCCAGCTTGGAGCCTTCAGCTGCCATAGGAAAAGGCTTATTACTACTCTGAGGTACTTTGCTATCAAAAAGCCCAAGTCACCCACAAAGGCCACATGTAGGTGTCCCAGCTGACAGTTCAGCTGAGCTCAGCCTCACAATCCTCCATGCCCAGGAGCCAAAATGTAAGCAAGGCAGCCTCTCAGTTAATTTCAGTCTTCCCAGACATTTGAAGCTTACTAGCAGAGGTCCCTGAAATCACGGAAATAAACCAGCCCCGCTATAGCCTGCCCAAATTCTGGACTTACAGAATCCACATGCATAATAAAATGGGTGTTGTTTATACCACTAAGTTTACAGTTTAAGTTTATTATGCTGGATAAGTTTATTATGTTACAACAGATAACTAGATAATATTACAGAAAGCAACTTACCTTCACAGCTTTCAATAGGACTAAGCCCTTCTCCTCTGGTAACCATCCAACATATCTTGGTTTGAATACCAATCAAATCCATTATTTTGGTATAAATCCGGTACCAACTGGCCAAAATTACCTATTTTTAAAAATATAGAGGCATTTTAAGAAAATATATTAAACAATTTTCATTACTAGAATACATTTGAGATATTTTGACAACTATCATATTTTCCCTTTCTATACCATCCACTTGGCTCCCTTTAAATGTAGTAAAATGAGGCTCTGAATCTCCTAGGCAGATTTTTCACTGGTCAGTTTTCAAATGTTGATGCAAAATATAGGGCAAAAAAGTGCTAATTTATGTTTTACAAAAGCTATACAACTCTACTAAGAGACACAAAAGAAGATTTGCACAAATAAAAGATACTGAGTCTACTGCAATAGATCAAATTATTTAAGATATGAATTCTCCCTCAAATTAATGCAGAAACATAAAATAACTCTAATTAAAATTCCAAGTGTTTAAAATGTATCCAGAAAACTAACAAGAAAACTAAAGGAAATGTTTTAACAGACATTACGTCTTATTACTTTTAATAATTAAAATAGTGTGATACTGGCACCAGAATGGCTAGACAGATCAACGTAACCATTGTAGAGGTAGTGGTAAGCCACCCAGATTCCCTTTTCCAGGCTAAAGCACTTATTCCTCCAGCTTCTTTGAAGACTGGTACCTGAGAGCTAGAAGCTGAGTCCCACCCTGGGAAGTGCCGTGGCTGAAGAAAGTAAATTCACTCAAGGTAACACCCCTCCACCCAAGGGCAATCTGCATCCAATGACTGACTAGTCAGTAGAGAAAGATAGCAAAGCCAGGGGCCCTTCTGTCAAGGTAGGACAACTCTGCAAGGCCATCCCAGATCCAGAGAGGCCCAAGGACTGGACGAGGCCTTCACTGTGACTGCATCAAAGCTCTCCTCTTCCTCCTGCCCCATTCGCTTCATTCATCCCCTTCAGGTGTTGACCCTAACAGCATTCCCTCGACTGTTTCCCCCATGCAAATCTCCATCTCGAAGTCCACTTCCGATGACCTCAACCTAAGGCAATACTGAGCACAAAATCCAGAAACACATGGAAGTATGTATGTATAATAATTTTGCATATAAAGCAGAAAGCATACATCAAATCAGTGGAAAGAAGATGGAGTACTCATTCAGTGTTAAGTTACACACAATACCATTTTTAAAAAAATTTAAAGTTAGATTCCTACCCCACCCTATGCATCAAAACCAATTCTAGATAAATGAAAATGTAACTATAAAAAATGTAATTATGTTATAAAAATGAAGTTCTTTACATGTATAAAAGAAAAAAAGATTCATATATATATTTCTGTATAGAAAAAAAGACATACACAAAGCTAAAGGGCAAACAGAAAACTGGGGAAAATATTTTATCATATAGCATTATATTAATATCTGGTATATAATGAGCTCTTATAAAATTTTAATAGAAATATAGCTAAAACACATGAATTGGCCATTATTTTTAAAAGTAAAAATGCATTATATGTATATGTATGTGTGTTATATAGAGAGAGCATTGAAATATATCTATAAAATCAGTGAGTGATATACATCATGTGACTTCAATTTCTTTATCCAATTAACAAAGATGCAGATAAATAAATAGTTTCAAAAGCACTGCCTGTGGATAATTCCATTAGTATAATCTATCTGGAAGGCCTTTTGACAAAACCATTAAAGTATATATTCTACTGAATTAAACAGTTTCACATCAACAAATTTATAGTTTTGCAAAGAGGATAAAGAAGAGACCAAATATCATCTCCACTTGCTGGATTGGGCTCAACTTCCCTCCACCCCCACTCAAGAAAGTACGCTCAATTAAATGAGGATAGGGAAGAAAATATTTAACAAATGACATGTAAACGTTAACAGCACTCTCTTGGTATACTCCCTACATGCACACCAAATCTAGTTTTTGTATTCTCTAAACAATGCAATCACAACAATAGTTCCCCACAGAATTAAAGCCCCCTCCTCTTTCTTAACATATTCCTCTCCAAGATACATATTTTCTTTTAAAAAGTTTAATACAATTTAATATATTGAATTATGTCTTAGATTTAGAATCAGCACTTAACACAAAAAAGTTTTAAAAAGTGAAAAATCACAATTGGAAAAAGTACCTTACCTCAGGGTAAAGATTAAATCTTTTTAATGTATTAATAACAAGGGGGTATTCGGTCAGTTTATCGTTCATAATCATCCATACTCCATTCAAAAATGAGGGTGCTTCCACAATAGTCTTGAAATAGGAATAATACAGTCCCTGAAATGAGGATATACTCAGTTAAAATAACAAAAGGTACATAATTATGATGGCTCTTCTAAAAATACACTGTTTTTGAAAAATGAAGCAATTAAGCAAGTAATAGCTATTAATACAATGAATTTCACAGGTTTCTGATCACTGATAAATCGTAAAGTTGTAAAAAAAAAATATGAATTTTCACATAACCTTGGCTTAATTGAAATAACTAACTACAAAATAGCTTCAAAAATAGTTTCAGCATTTAAAACAATAATATGACTCAGCATACTTCAACTTACAAAATCCTATTACCCATACTAATATAACTGTTAGAAAATGCTATCTTATGAATAGAGTGACTGGTTTATTATGGAACTAAAATTTATCATGAACCAAGATATCTTAAGCCAAAAAATGATCCCCTAATTGCTTATTTTAATCCCCAAAATGACACTATCAGTCATTTTTCCTCCAGATTTACATGCAAAAATGAAAATGTGTTGGGACGGCTACACACTGATGTATTATTACAGATGAATTTCACTTGGGTGCCACCTAACTTTACAGATTATTTTCCCTCCTATCAAGTCAGCATAAGGTAAGAACCCTATGGGACAGGCGAATGGTCCTATTTCGAAGAAAAGAGATAAAATTTTAGCTTGGCACACTACTTTGGAAATATAGCAAGAGAAGAATAATACGTGAGACAGAAAAAAGAAAAGAAAAGAAAAGAAAATACTAGAAACCTAATGGGGAGTTTAAGTGGCAGTATGAGGGAAGACAGAAAAACACAAGACAAATCTACATCTTGTATTTGCATCCTCAGGTTTGCCTGGAGCTGCCCTGGTAGCCAGTACCAGTAGCTGCCAAAGTCTAAACTGGGTTTAAGGTTCATAAATACAAAAGTGATATGCCTACCAGAAATTTATTGAAAAAGAAAAAAAATGGTCTTGATATTCTGATGTATTAGCTCTGATGTCATTATTTTTTAAATTATGTTTCCAAGTGTAGTGATTTGGATAGTGTCCCCTAAAATTTCATGTCCACCAGCCCCTGTGGATGTGATCTTATTTGTAAATAGGATTCTTACAGACATGATCAAGTCAAAATGAGGTCATACTGAATTCAGGTGGACTCTAAACCCAACACAACTGGTATACTTATATGAAGAGGAATTAGTGGCCTCAAAGCTGCAGCCACACAGGGGAAAAGGCCACGTGAAGGTGGATCAAAAATGGGGGTGAGGCATCAGCATTCTAAGGAATTCCAAGGATGGCCAGCAACTACCGGACGCTGGAAGAGACAAGGAAGGACTCTCCCCTCCAGCCTTCGGAGACAAGATGCCCCGTCAACACCTTAATGTCCCACTGCTGGTCTCTGAAACTGTGAGATAATAGATTTCTGTTGTTTTAAGCCACCTAGGTTGTTGTACTTCTTTATGACACCCCTAGGAAACTATACCTTCCTTCTTTTGTAGGTTTGATTTTGGAAACATAAATGTTTAATTATAAAAAAAAATTTTAAATCCCTAAATATCAAAATAAAAATGAAAGAAAGGAATGAACTATTTATCAACTTGGGAGAAGATTTCAAGTAACATAAGATACTGTAATTCTACTATATATCCCTAGTGGACTATATCCTAAGGTTAAAATGGAGCCAGGAATTGGGCAGGACTAGTTTCACAAGTTACAGGTCACAAAGATCCTGCTGATAATACAGGATGTGGTAAAGAAGCCAGCCAAAACCTGCCAAAATCACCATGGCAATTAAAGTGACCTCTGGTCATCCTTACTGCTCATTACATGCAAATTATAATACACTAGTATACTAAAGGAAACTCCTACCAGCAGCATGACACCATGGCAATGTCTGGAAGTTACCCTACATGGTCTGAAAGTGGGGGGAACCTTCAGTTCCAGGAATTCCCTCCCTGTTCCCAGAAAACTCATGAATAATCCACTTCTAGTTTAGCATATCATGAAGACATAACCTTAAAAACAGTCAACCAGCAGCCCTCACAGCTGCTCTGCCTGTGGAATAGCCACTCTTTCATCCCTTTACTTTCTTAAGATAAACTTATTTTCACTTTACTCTATGGGCACATTCTTGAATTCCTTCCTGCCCAAAGCCAAGAACCCACATGGCGTCCTGGGCTGAGCCCCATTTCTGGGGGTTGCCCTGGAAAGAACTGAAGTACCAGAAAATCTTGAACTCTTTTCAGTAATCACATGTTTAATTATGCCTTTGGTACTTTTATTCCTAACAGATCAATAATTTGAAACCAACATTCTCAAACTAAGAGATTAATATCGAATAAGTAAAACAAACTGAATCTTAAATTTCCATTTAAAATATTAATATTAATTCATGGTTTATTTTCTCTTTAAAAAAAAATTTGTAGCCTAATTCTGTTCACTAAAAAGGCCAAGATACAATGACCAATCTAGTAGCAATGAGCATCTGCCACTGACAGGAATGGTGGCTCACTGGAAAACTGGCTGACTCCAGGTCTGAGAAGAAAATGTCTTACAATACCTGAAAGTAAGGAAGCTATGGATACTAGTGAGGTCACATCAAGAGCAAACAGGGAGAGCTGCAAGGGCTTTACTAGTTAAAGACAAGAAAGTTTACAAAATACATGAAAATCTATCATGTCATAATGATACTCCAAAAGAAGGTATTCCCTTGATCACTATGAGAAGATGCTAGGGAAGCTACTCATTTTTCTGAAAATTGGTAGATAAAAACAAAGAATTAAAGCATTTTCCTGTCTTTCCTCTATAAAATATACCTCAAGAGAACCCAAAAGGTATTGTGTGAAACTTAATAGAATTACAGCTAATACGTGCAGGAAAAAAATGATAGAGTGGGTATCACAGTTTAACAAGGATAATGAAATAACTAACCTAGGCTGATGGCTAGGCTATAGGAGGAATCAGCATCACAATACCTAAGGTCAGTGATCAATCTTAACATCACAGAAAGTAAGACACCAGATACATGTGCCTCTTGGCTTGACACAGTAAGAAGTACACAGCACCACCTAGGAAGTATTCCTGCCAGAAAAAAAAGTCAATCTTCTGATCCATAAATGTTCAGGAAACTTGGGATATGGTAACATAATTAATAAACGTGGATTGTTGTGGGTAATTTTATAGGACAAATAACCTGGATTTCTCAACAAACAAATGCAGGAAAACAAAACAAAAACAGGTAAAGGAATTCACAGATTAACTAAATGCAATGTGTAGGCACTGTTTGGATACTATTCAAACACATCAACTGTTTAAAAAAAAAAAGTGCCAAACAGAATATTTAAATATCAATTTCTATTTGATGATATTAAGGATATTGCTAAATAAGTGTTTTCTAGTATGTCTTGTGCCATGGTTTTGTGCCATAGTAATAAAGTGTTGTCCTTGGAGACACTTATGAAAGTATGAAAGCATAAAATGATATAATGCCTGGGATTTCCTTTAAAAAGAGATAGTGAATGGGGGTGTAGATGAAGGAAAACTGGCTGTGGCTATCAGTTGTAGAAGCTGGAGCATCTACTCTTTCTAAAGTACTAAATGAAATACCGAATAAAAACTAACCATTTCAGTGCGAAAAGCCATCTCCCTTTCCAATGTTGAGAGGTGAGAAAAATGACGGTCATTTTCAAAGAGGTGTGTTATATGGCTCCTGGAAAACAAAAAAAAGCAACAATGTTAAAACTTACACTGTAAGTTTAATTTTTTAAGTAAGGCTAAAAGCAAAAATAAAAGTATCAGCTAATTTGCAGATAATTTTATAATAAAACAAATGGTTTTAATACAATAGTATCCATATTTGTTTTCCACTCAGTACATATTGCATTTATACTAAAATTATCCTCTATAAAAAATCAAATTAGATTTTAAAATTAAAATGAACCAGAATATTTTAAGTGAAGTGCAGTAAAAGTATAGATTAAACTGTAAATGTCATTAGGTTACCATTTTAGAAACATCTAATGAAATTCATATTTCTATCTAAAAGATTAAAAAAATTAATCTTCCTCTCACCATGAACATATTAATGTTGAGTAGAGTCTCAAATAGAGCCTCTTTAATAATGAATCTCTTTTTTATTAAACAATTATATTATTCTGATCCTGACTTATCAATTAAACTAGTTTTTCAGACTATTGTGTTACATGTAATATATATTCACACTGACTTTGCTGAAATTATTCCTTTAAATATATGGAAAATAGCTTTAGTAAGTTATAAACTTCTGCATAAAATACCATAGTAGAAAAAAAAAAAATCTTACCAGTGCAACACTGCTGCAAAAGCAGCTGTAAGAAAAAAGAAATTTAAATTAGAATTTTAGCATAAACATGTGCATTTTACAGAAAAGCCATTTCAAAGAAAAGCATGTCAAATATTGAAATGTATAAATGTTGGACTCTGAGAGACTGGGGAAGAATACTAGCTCTTCAAAAAAAAAAAAAAAAAAAAAAAAAGCCCCCAGGGCTATGTTTAAAATTGTGATTGACCGGCTCATAAGGGAATTAAGCATACAGCCACAATTTTCATTCACTCAATCATTCGACAAAATATATGAAGGCCTAATATCTGCTAATATACAGAAAATGAGATGAAAACTATCACTAATAAAACTGAGAGAGAAATGGAATCAACAGGTAAGGCTAACTTAGAATAAAGAAATATGGTGGCTTAGGGGTACAGGATTGGGGATGAGAGAAAAAAGGGAACTATCACTTCTGATACACTGCTGCAATGCCTGAGATTTTATGACAAATCCTATTCATATTTAAAATGAAATGAGTAAAGGAGAAAAAAAAAGGAGAAAAGGTAAGAGAGGGAAACAAGCTATTAATAAAATCACTCTCATGAGAATCAATACCTTGCTATCTGTCCAAACAGAAAGAACATACTAAGGGCCAGGGGTAGTGGCTGACGCCTGTAATCCCAGCACTTTGGAAGGCGGAAGCGGGTGGATCATAAGGTCAGGAGTTCGAGACCAGCTTGGCCAATATGGGGAAACCCTGTCTCTACTAAAAATACAAAAAATTATCTGGGCATGGTGGAGTGCACCTGTAGTCCCAGGTGCTCAGGAGGCTGAGGAAGGAAAATTGCTTGAACCTGGGAGACAGAGGTTGCAGTGAGCTGAGATCACACCACTGCACTACAGCCTGGGTGACAGAGCAAGACATCTCAAAATAATAATAATAATAATAATAATAATAATAATACACACATACAAAAAGAAAGAACACACTAAGACGAACTCCAAAGAGACACCATTTGATGTTCTTACATCACAAGATACAGCTGATTGCAGGCTTCTGATTAAGTAACTCTTAACTAAGGAATCAAACTATGAAAATACTCTTAGAAATGAAACCCAAGCCAGGCACAGTGACACATGCCTGTAGTCTCCATCACTGGGGAAGCAGAGGCAGCATCACCTCTTGAGCCCAGGAATTCAAGGCTGCAGCAGTGTGCTATGACTGGGCTTGTTAGCAGCCACTGCACTCTAGCCTGGGAAACACAGTGAGACCCTTTCTCAAGAAAGAGAGAAAGGGAGAGAAAGTGAGAGAGAGAGAGAGAGAATAGAGAAAAGAAAAGAAAGAGAGAGGAGGAGGAAGGAGAAGGAAAGAAGAAGAAAGAAGAAGAGAGAAAGAAGAATAAGGAGGAGGAAGAGAAGGAAAGAAAGAAATGAAAACCAAAAAGATTAGATCTTATTGTCTTATTCTTAACACCATATTTATATTTTTAATTTAAAAATCCATTTTGCCTTAGAAATATGAATGGTTACATCTAGATTATTGAAGTTACAAATATCTAACAATTTTTCAGTTGACTTTTCTTAGTAAGATATATTGATGTTTCGAAATTTTAAATTTTTTTCTTGTTAACAAATCTACCATGTGCTTCCCTTTAGTTTCTGTCTTTAAAAACGTCTGCTAGGCTCATGACTATAATCCCAGATACTCGGCTGGAGGAAGTAGGAAGATCACTTGAGGACAGGAGTTTGAATCTAGGCTGGGTAACACAGCAAGATCTGGTCTTTACAAAGCATGTGCCTATAGTCCCAGCTACTCAGGAAGGCTAAGATGGGAGGATCGCTTGAGTCCAAGAGGTTGACGTAGTAGCAAGCTATGATCACGCCACTGTACTCTCTAGCCTGGATGACACAACGAGATCCTGTCTCTGAAGAAAAAAAAAAAATCATCCCAACATAATAAAATTTGGTCTTTATTTTCACAATGATTCAACTAACATTTTTTGAATAAGTCATTTTTCTCCCATTGAATGTAAATGCAACCTTTATCAAGACTTGCCACACTTATACTCTGGTAACCCCTTTGAGGTTATAACTGGATTTTCACTTATAAAATTAATCTGAGAAGAATTTACATGTTTACAATATAGAGTCTTCATAATCATAAATGTGGTGTGTATATATATGTTATATATATAAGTATGTGTATATACACACACCATATACTTTCAATTGTTCAAATTGGTTTTCAATAGTCCTTGAGAAAAATTCTACAGGTAGGTACTGTTAACATATGCATTTCTTATGAAGTTTCCCCCGGCAGTTTAACATTTTTTCCTTCTAATATTCATATGTTTTTTATTATACATTATTGGATATTGTTACAGTGTTTATTTTTGAAGAGTATTTATTTTGCAATGCATTTATTTTGGTTTATTTACAAAACTATTAATTCATATAGTTTTTTTTTTTTTTTTTTTTTTTTTTTTAAGATTTTGTTTTTTTTAAACTTATCTTCAATTCTCCATTTTATTGTATTTTATTTTATTTTTGAGATGGAGTCTTGCTCTGTCACCCAGGCTGGAGTGCTTGGCTCACTGCAACCTCCATCTCCCGGGTTCAAGCATTTCTCCCGTCTCAACCTCCTGAGTAGCTGGGACTATAGGAGCATGCCACTGCCTTCATGCCTGGCTAATTTTTGTATTTTTAGTAGAGACAGGGTTTTAATATGTTGGCCAGGCTGGTCTGAACTTCTGACCTCAGGTGATCCGCTCGCCTCGGCCTACCAAAGTGCTGGGATCACAGGCGTAAGCCACCACACCCAGCCCTAATTCTCCATTTTAAACAATATTATTTACATATAATAATTTTGTTCCCATTTTATAATTTTACTATTAGTTTCTTCTTCCTATTTGACAAAAAAAATAAATAAACTTTTAGAATATTACTAAACAATTCTGGTAAATAGGGGCATTCTTGGCATTGGTGGTATAGTGGTGAGCATAGCTGCCTTCTAAAGGGAGCATTCTTGACTTCTGCTGACTTTAACAGAAATGCACTTCACATTATGCCATTAAGTTGGCCTTTGACCTTCACAATTCTGGAGTGCTAACTAGGATTTGTCAAGGTCATCATCCCTCTATGCCCTTAAAATACCATGCTTTCTCAAAATAAGGATGGGAGGTGCAAGAAGCCTCTGGTGCCTTCCTTTAATTGGCTTCCTTCAGCATTAGACAATAGACAAGGACAATACTTGGAGTACCTGGCACTCTTTCAGTCTCCAGGGTCCATTCATGATCTGTCCAGTGTTTTGAATCGCTTTGTTCGTTTCAACTTAGTAATAATAATGATGAGAACAAAGAAGCTAACACTTGAATGCTTATTACATAACCCAGCATTTTATAAGTACTTTACTTGTACTAGCCAAATAAATCCTCACAACTACCATTTGTCATATGTACAAATATTTCCACAGTACACAGACTAGAAGTTGAGGCACCGAGTCACTGAGTAACTTGCATAAGAATTCACACCAAGTAAACCCAGAAAGGGAGGCTGGACTCAGGAATTCTGACCTGCATTGCATGGCTGTTGTAGAAAGAGGATAGAATAGATGAAACAAAAGCCTACACCTACTTACCCTAAAGTATTCCTACTCCCCCCAACCTTATTTTTGTAATCTTAAATATAAAAGGAAAAAAAATGCTGCAATTCATCTGCTGATACAGGAAGTACATTTTATAGAGGCTACTAATTTTACATAAAATTTTGAGATATATTTTATTTAAAAATTGAAATACATTATACATATGTATGTCATTTGAACATGAAAGTCCCAGTAAAGCAAATACTGATTTGTGACCACATAATAAAAATGAAAAATGACAAAAACTTCTGAAGCCCCTAAAGAGCTTTTTTTGCCTTCTTGCCCACAGAAAAAAGAATATTTTAGATAATTTTCTCTAAGTTTATTCCAGTGATTATCAACCTTTTTAAGAGTGTAATAAAACTGACAATCCATGTTTTTCCACTTAAACACAGATGCCGTTTTTTGGCATTCTAAGAAACTGAGATAAAGATAGCATTTTTAAAAATCGCATTCTAAGAAACTGAGATATAGATAGCATTTTTAAAAATCAGAACATAAAATATATTTTTTTAAAAAATCCAAACCTATTCTGTAAGAAAAAGGTGTTCAAGGAAAGAAGATTTGCTATGTAATCTAATTCAAAAAATCTCAATACTATGGCTGAGACTTTTGTAAGGTTCATAATTTTGCTGGAAGCACAAAAATTCCCTACAATCTAAAGCTAAATTGGACACTATAGGATGCTGCATTAACTCTTTCCAATTAAAGAACATTTGCACCAAACTATATGTCACATTATATCAATTTTGAGTCTTAGGGGATTTGAGAGGACTCTACTGATAATTATTCGCCTCCTGTTATTAGAATCTTGTTTAAACAAAGCAGATGATAACTCCCTGAGGGTAGCAACAATGTTTTACCAAACTTTACTCCAGTATTTATTAGCACAAAGCCAAGCACTCAAATGTTTGCTGAATCAATGCATAAAGCTTGATATAATTAAGAGGGGGAATGAAATAAAACCATGTCCTAATAATCAATCTCAATTGAATATATTTTGATAGAAAGATATATACATACACACGTGTGTCACGCTTTTTCACAAATGGAGCCCCCATTTACTTCGTGCAGATTAGACACCTGGTCCACAGGCAGCCAGCTCCCTGCCCTCTCCCAGTGGGGCACGGATCCCTGACGCCTTGGTGCGGAAGGCGGGGCGGGCGCTCCCCTCGGAGAAGTTTCCCGACCCCCAGCCCCAGCTCCAGCTGGCCTGCTCCCGGTCAACCCCTCTTTCCTGCCCCAGCTCTCTGGAAGCCACCGTTCTTTCCAGCAAGTCCTGTGTCCTGGGCAAGTGGGGAGGGGAGTTCTCCTGACCCAGTCCCCCATGTCTGGCTGGCAGAGAGTAGGGCAGAAAGAAAGGAGGAAGACACTGGAAAGGGGATTCTTCCCTCGCTGCT